TAACAGGCTCAGGACTGTGCTTTATGCTTTGAGTGCAATTTTCAACTCTAAATGTTGTAGAGAAGTTCTCCCTAGAGTGGCCGTCAAATCTTTAAACTCTTAGGTATCGAGTACTATGTAAGCCATTCCTCCATGAGAACTGGCACCATGGAATACTATATCCGGTCCAGGTAGAGAGTTTGAACTAACAGGAAAAAAGCTCTTTCCGGTGATTTGTCTACAAACTTAAATGGGCTTCCATGGAAGATAATGATTATCCAGTCTTCCCAAGAAACTAAAAATACTAGCTTGAAACAAAGATTGATTGCTATAAATTAATGGCTGTTAAGTCATATAATAATTTCCATTTTCCTTTAGATTTTTCTGAATGACAAAGATAGAGTTTCAGGGACTGAGGCCTGGGTCAGTATGTCTCAGGTATCTCTGTTCTTCTAATTCCTGAGCACCCTGCAGTTACTCTTTACTCACAGGCCACTGATCCATCCAAACAACTTCATCTGTCTTCCACTGAATTTTTATGGGCTCAGGAAGTGAAACAAAGACCCCTAATTAGACCTTAGGGCTTCTGCAAGAGCTTCTGTAAAGATAACGGCAGTGTATGTCTGAGTCCCTCATCTCTGACATGCCAGGATCCAGTCATCCAGAGGGCAGTCTTCTGGCCCTACCACCTTCTGTAGCTCTGCTATGGCCTCCTCATAAGCAGGCTGGCGCACAGCATGCTAGCCACCTTAGCATGCTTGCACTTCCATTCCACACAACTTTGAGCCAGAAACTTAGTAAAAAGCTCAGTAGGTCCTGTCTTTAAATCTTTGAAATTTGCTGTGTCCCGTGAAGAGAGCAGTCTTCCAAGCTCTTAGGGCACACAGACGAACTTGACCAAATGCTGAGGCGGTCCAGGAGGAGCCTGTTCAGCAGGTGATGAGAATGTTCCTTCCCCCGAAACATCTCCACATTCATGGCTACACCTGAATTTCAATTTCTCCCAGCCTCAAGTCCACACTGATCATAATAATGTGCTTTCCAAATTTAACAGAAAAAGTCCCGAGGACTCATATACTCAGGGAAGCTGTTTATAATCCTCTGGCGTGTTTAAATTCCTGATTATAAATTCTAGTAACTGCATTACATAGGAAAATGACATCTGTCATCTTGACAAGCAGTCCACTGTAGCTGGTCTTTTGGCTACTTTGTGGGTTCTTTTTTCTTCCACCTTTCTTCATCCTTCTTCTTTTACCCTTTTAACCCCCTAATACTAGAGAGAAGAGGGAAAAAAGGATAGAGGGAAAAAGGGGGTGATACTATCTTTAGACTACTTCCAGCAGATTAGGGCTTTCCAGTTCCTTGGGGCAAGTTTGATCTTTGCTGTCAGGATATCTAATTTCTTCTTGTTGTTGTTTCTTCTTTGTGCCTGGCTACTTAACAAACCGTGACCAATAGCAACCGACCAACAACCCCTCTTGGGGCTCTAGCATTTATATATCCTCTGAAAAAAGTCCTCAGAATTCCATAGTTACACAACATTCTGCAGAAATCAGAAACAACCTGCAGCTGGCAAAATCATGCCCCTGGTAGAGGATGAGGGGAATCACAGTCAGGAGCTGCAGGCAGTTTGAAGCAGCCCCATGTCCTATACCTGGGGTTAAAGTGAAAACATTCTTGCATAGTATTTCTGTGTTTTTCTAAAATTCTCACTATAGTCTGCAACTGCTGGGGTTTCAAGGTCATGTGGATACGTGCTAAATGTGTCTGCTGGGTAGGGTTTAATTTCACTGGAAAAGGAGAGACTTTGGGCTGCTCATTTGGCTAGCAATCTTCACGACTAGCACAAAGCCATGAAAAAGGATCTAAATGTGGTGGCAACGGAGGTCCGTCACCTTTTAGGCTATTGTGTTCAAGCAATGCATTCAAGGAAGGATATAAGGAAGAGTGCTGAGACCTTCCTGCCAAAGTGTCCTCTTTTGTGACAAGAATTTCTATTAGTGCCATCTTAATTTCTTCTTTGTTGTTTTTAATCACTGACCTTAACTTTATCTGCTACTAGGAAAGTCTGCCAGTGCTTTAACTTCAGCCCTCCCCCAGGCACCCAATTACAGCCTAAAAATAGGCTAGAAAGGTTCAGGCAAGGAAGCCTGATCTTACTTCTCTTCTCGGTACATTATTCAAAGCTCTCTGCCATAGCTCTAGATCAAAACTACAGGAAACCAAAGATCTATCTGTAGGAACTCAGACCAAAACTTCTCTAACTCAGGCACTTGTACTTCAATTCCCTTCTCTTTTAGCAGGCACTTACCACCTGCCTTTGAGTTGCTCTTTGACACAAGGCCAAATTATCCATTCTGCGCCCAGTTTTGCTTTTTAAACTGGGGGTCCCTTTACCCTACGTACTCATGTCTCCCACATTTGGCTGCCAAACTGCCTTTGCTACCAGGCCATCCCCTAAAAGACAGCCATGACTCTGGGTCAGTAAACGGTGCAGAGCTAACCAACCACTCTGGAGACATTTCAGGGACAGCACCTGCTTTATTCCACTTACACAGTGGAAGCCTGCGGATGGGGGATTGCTTAGCACAGCACCTCAGATTAGACAGTGAGTGCTGAGACTCCAGGTCTCTATCAGAAGAAGCACATTAAAGGAGATGTGACGAGTGTGGACTCATCCATCTGAAAGCCGGCTACCAGCTACTCATGCTACTTCAGAATTCAGTGTTCTGACTTCTGGCCATGGTGCCCCATGCTTCTCATTTAAAAGCCCAGAATGCAAGAGAATGCATCCAGCCCAATCTAATGGAGGCATTTTCTTATTGAGATTCCCTCTTCTCAGATGATTTTAGCTTGTGTCTAGTTGACATAAAACTAGCCAGCACAGCCATGAAGAGAGCAAACCACTCCTCAGCGTTCACACTGCTAGAAGACAAGTGAGCACAAGCCAGTAGGAGGGCTTTGCTGATCTCTTGCTGCAGCCTGCAAAATCTTTGGTGAGAGTATTTATCACAAACCCACAGTATCTCAGTAAGGCTTGAAGGACTGCAGGACAGTCTAGACTACAGCCTGTAGCAGCACTCCCTGTCACAGATGCAAAGTTGCATCCATAGCTTCATGAAGACCTCTGCTAAAGCACAGAGCCTCCACCTCAGCAACTTCCTATGCCCACCGAACTCCTATTCTGACCCTTCCGACAGGGATGAGCCCTCTGTTTCTTTTGTTCCCATCTTCTACTAATCTCTGGGCTTTTAACTCGGTGGCACTTATGCTTTAAGAAGCTAAACTAAGGGGTACCTAGGAAACCTTCATGGCCATGTCTAGCTTTTCATGTTCAGACAGTGCTCTCTCACTTTCATTTCTAGGGCTTCTGACGATCTCACACTGAACTTTCTTGTGGCACATGGGTAGGTGTTCCCATGAAGCACTTGCCTGCATCACATCTCACTGGACTTCACATCTGCATGGACTGACGCTCTCTCCTTAACCTGTAGGGCCCTAAGAGGGCCCGTGGCTGAAGCTCATGGGTTTGCTGGAGCTGCTACTGCTATAAGACAGGCAGCGTCTGTCCCAGCACAGCTCTCAACAAAGTCTAGTTTCCTCCTATCCCAGATCCAGATATACGGTTCCAGCCCCACAGTTCTGCCATCCTCTGTTCCTGGAACTGGTCATCAGAGGAAGGGGAAGAAAATGGGGCTCACCACTCAGCAAAGGAAAGAAAGGAAATGGGGTTCGTTGCTCAGTAAAGGAATTCCTTGCTTTCTGATTGTTTAAAAGCAAACAAATTTAAAGATAACTGAATTATCAATCTTCAATCAGCTATTCAAACTGACAACCTTAAAAATGAGTAATGTGGAACCCCTAAATTCTTAATTGTTGGATCCTAATTCTAAAAAGCAGAATACATGAAGTAAGAAGGGAAAATGTATTTAAACAATCACAGTCTTCATATTTAGAACATAGGACAGAAAAGTGCTAGTGAAGTCTGACCCTCTGCTATTTTCAAACCTGATGCTCACTGGTGATCACTTGTTTCCATGAGCCTGTAAGAGCAGGGGACAGTTTTTCAGACACGCTAATTCAGCTAACACCAGGACTGCACACTCACCTTCTCTCCCCAGGAGCCTCCTGTGTCAGGACAGCATCCACATAGGGCTGAAGACTACAGTCCAGCTCCTCGAGCAGCCTCTCTTGGGCCATTAGCCCCTCTTTTATAGATAAAGACTCTGAAGTTCAGGTAAAGTGGGCAGTGTGCCCAAGGTCACACAGCTGTCACTGCACAGCTGGGGTCAGAGCTGACAAAAGCTCAGTCCTCCTTACTCTGTCCCATGCAGCCCAGAATGGAGAGAAAATTGCAGGGTTTTTTTTCCATGAGGGTAAAATCTGGTTAAAAGTTTATTCTCATGGCTGGTGTCAAAACACAGTGTTAGGACCCCTGCCTTGCATGCGTGAGGCACAGAGCTCCATTCCTAATGCCACTGCCACCAACAAACAGAATACAACTGGCTTTTTTAGTAGACAGGAAAAATAAGCAGAGTGAGGGAGAATAACTTCCAAAAACAAAACTAGTCACAAGAGAATTTCACCAGGCAGGGAGTTCCCAGGACACAGGCTGCAGACAGATTCTCTATCAAGATCCAGGTCCTTTGTGCAGCCCTCTGGTCGCTTGTCTGCACTATGCAAAAAAAATCACATCATGGCCACCCATGTAAAAGCTGTCTGTGAGACTGAGGCAGTTGCCACTGTCTATTGTTGCCCAAACCATCAAGACCTTCAACAAACACCCCTTGGCTTGTGGGGAGATCAGAAACTCCAAGTAAGTAAGCTTGTACCTCTACTGAGGATTAAAACATTCCAGCACTCCCTAACAACCAATGCCCTATTCTCCACAACCCATTTGATGGCAAATGCCCAGCTGATTTTTGAGTTACGTTCCTTTCCTCCTGACTGTACCAACACCACAAAGGTACACTGGATGTCAGCAACCTCGGATCTGCAGTCATTAGAAGGGGAGGCATTACCTCCCAGAAGCTGTCGCTGGACACTTCCACTCCCACAGAATCATCGTAGGTGACAGACATTTCTGCAGAGGACGAGGGGGTGGCAGCAGACACTCCAGTTCAGGGATCAGATGCTCAAAACCTGCAGGCAGACCTATGAAAGAAAAACAAACAGCTGTAGTTTTCACATTCTAAGACAGAAGGCAAGGCATCTCTGTTGAATACATGGCACCAACCTCAGCACAGTGGTCTCTCCTGCTCTGCATCAGGCCCAGCTTCTCTTCCCTACCCTGCCACTGAATGCCAGCTCGCTGAAGCTCACAAGTACCAAGACTCCAGAGCTCTAGGTCTCTATGTGTCCACTATGACTCCAGTGTCACCAGTGTACAGGGACTCCATGGCAGCTCTTCTGAGAGCCAGCCACAGTCAGATAAGGATGAGGGTGCTTTACTCACACGACATGTAGTTAGTGCCATGGCTAGTCTTGATTGTCAAATTGACTGTATCTGGAATTAACTGAAATTCAAGGGGCTGGGTGCACCCATGAGGGATTTCTTTGTGTAGCCCTGGTTGTTCTAGAGCTCACCTTGTAGACCAGGCTGGCCTTAGAGATCCGCCTGCCTCTGCTTCCTGAGTGCTGGGACCAAAGGTGTGCACATCACACCCTGAGAGATTATTTTCTAGATGAAACCATTAGAAATGAGACAACCCACCTTTAGTCTAGGCCACATCTAGACTAAAGGCTTAGGATAAAGGCCTGGTGTAAAGCCTTAGGGCAGGCTATATAAAGGACATGGAAGAAGGAAGCTGTTGCTGTTTGCCTGCTTGCTCTTGCTGACCAGTCCACTCCTTCACTGGTAACAGAGCCTATTTTGGGATTCTGCCATATACTAAAGACCAGCTAAGACATTCAGTCTTGTGGACTAAACAACTACTGGATTCTTGGACTTTTTGTAGGGAGATACTACTGTTGGACCAGCTAGGTGGACCAGAGCCTATAAGCTACACTAATGTGTGTGTGTGTGTGTGTGTGTGTGTGTGTGTGTGTGTGTGTGTGTGTGTTCATTCTATCCCTTTAGAGAATCCTGACTGACTGATACAGGTAGCAATGATATTTAAGAGTTATCTGACACAACAAAAGAAGTCCATCCAGCAAGCTGGCCAAAGATAGTGAGAGACACTAGGTTCTGGAATTGGGGTTTTGTTAGTTATTGTTTCTGGGACAAGCATTTTCTCTGAGGCTGTCAGCATCCCTTACTCAGGGAGGGGACTGGTGGCCACCTGATGCCAGGAGCTTTATGTGTTCCTCATGAATGCACTGAGTTCAGTGCTAACTGGTGATCCCATGAGGCAGCAGTCATCACATGCCTCATTAGACAGAAGAGACAGGGGAAGGAGTTTGTCTAGCTCAGGAGCAGGGTGATGAATAAAGGCTCACTTCTGTAGAGTGCTAACAGCAGGGTGCATACCCTCAGGAGCTAGCTGAAGCTATCCTCAGAGAAGTCTGTGGGTTTTAGGCCTCCTGGAGGACTGAGTAGTAGCTAACTGTGGACCTGACTAGTGACTCTCTCTCTCTCTACCAGGCCTGGTGTAAATGGCACGTGCTACCCCAGGCCTTGTCCTCTCATCACTTCATGCTGTTTATTTATCATGTATTCTTAATCTTTTAAAAATACTTCACTTTTTTGCCAAGCAGTGGTGACACATGCCTTTAATCCCAGCACTTTGGAAGCAAAGGCAGGTGGATCTCTGAATTCCAGGCCAATCTGGTCTACAGAATGAGTTCCAGGACAGCCAAGACTACACACAGAAACCCTGTCTCAAAAAAAAAAAAAAAAGTTAAGAAAAAACGTTGGCTTTTATTTAGGAGAGAATGTACACGCATGAGCACCAAACTCCCATCCTCGGCCATTACTCTGGCCACACAGCCGGAGCAGTGAAGTCTCCTGCATCAGTATTCTCTTACTATGTTAGTGCTTTCCTGTGACCTTTTCAGAAGTCTCTCCTTTTGCTGATGTCATTCTCCTTCGGTCCTCTTATATCTGTGGTGTGTGTTTTTCAGTTTTACTTTTCTTATCCAGAAATGGTATATATATGATAAGACACCTGAATCACTTCTGACTTCTTTCCATGTAGAGGTCAAATTGTTCCAAAGCTGTTTGCTGGGGTTTCTCTCCCTCACTGTTTGTCTGTCCTAGCCACAGTCTTCACTGCTGTACCTGAGTCTCGCAGGAATCCCTCATCCATTCTTCTAGAGCAGCCAGCTACAGTCCTATGTATCTCCAAATACAACCTTTCAACTGGTTTCTTTAGTTTCACCAAACAATAAGGTCTGCTTCCTGTCTATATGGTAGTCAAAGTGGATTTAGACAAAGACATTGCATTTCTGGAAATCTGTAACTGGTAGTGTAACAGAAGTAGCACTCAGGCTTCACATCACACAGAAGCATCCTGTGGTACTGACAGTCTGAGTCCTTTCATAGACCAGATGTGTTCAGCACTGCTGTTTCAATATGGCAAGATGACTCAGCGCAATTCCTAGGCCCACATGAGTCACCAGCCACACCTAGGCAGAGCTAGGCAGGAGGACGACTAGAAGGAAAGAGAACCTGAAGCATCAGGAGTCAACTTATAACTGGAAGGGCCTATCATACCAACCTTTGTCGGAAGCTCTCTTATTAGTAACTGCTGTAGGCACGCCTCACTCATTCATCCAATAAACATGATTCTAAGTCTCAAGAATAGGCCAGTGTCCGGGATACAAACAGCCCATGGGCTACACCTTAATTCTCTTAAATATAGCTGCATATGGTATTGTATGCCTAACCCCAAGCTTCTCAGGAAACTAAAGCAGAGTTTCCTTGGATCCAGAGGTTCAAGGTTAGTCTAGGCAATATAGTAAGACCCTGTTCAAAATGTAAGTACATAAATAGTAATCTTAATTCTAGCCTTAGCTAGAATGGGAACTAAATAAAACACTAGATATTAATTAAATGCAAACAGAATAAATGTTTTGCCCATTGATGCTATAAGCTAAATAAAACTGGTAATTATTGATAATCACAACTAAAATCTAAGGATGTGGGCTGGAGAGATGTCTCAGCGGTTAGGAGAACTGGCTGTCTGTTCAAGAGGACCTGGGTTTGATTCCCAGCACCCACAAGGTGGCTGTCTGTAACTCCAGGTCCAGAGGATCGAATACCCTTTTCTGGCCTCCAATGGCACCAGGCATGCATGTGGTGCACAGACATATACATGTAGGCAAAACAATACATATTAAAAAAAAAACCTAAGGATGTTATATATTTATACAAAATAAATTTATCTATACAAATAAGCTACATATTTATACAAGACAAGAAAAACTGTGGTGGTTTAAACTTGAACAGCCTCCCCTCTATAAGCTCACACATTTCAACACTTGGTTCCCAGTTGATGGAATTGTTTGGGAAGGATTAGGTGTGTTGTTGTTGAAAAAGGTCTGTCACTGGTGGGGAGCTTTGAGGTTTCAAAAGACTTCTTCGATTCCCAGTGTTCTCTGTGCTTCTGGTTGTGGACCTTTGATGTAAGCACTCAGCCTGCCATGGTGGCATACCCCTTTAATCCTAGTACCCAGGAGGTAGAGAGGCAGGAGGACGTCTTTGAGTTTAACTCCTACCTAGTCTACTTAGTGAGTTCCAGGACCGCCAGGAACAGAGAGCTGTACAACTGAGGACACATACAGCTACAGAGAAACAGCTCTAAGGTAAGAGGACATGACACAGGACACAAACATACTCAAAAAGGGCTTCCAGGTCAAATTCCCCCTTGTCCAAACTCTGTGTCTCTCTTCTAGTAAGGCCCTATCACGAAAGCCATCCCTTGTGGGTGAGAACCAGCTATCAACAAGGACAGATAAGTGGAACCCAAAAAGAGCCACACTTAATCCCACAGATTGATAGTCAAAGATTATCAAGGAAGGAACTAGAAAAGTTCCCTGATGATGTCACGTATTTAGTTACTAAGCAATGGCTAAATTGTGCTCCCCCAAAAAGGCTCTTACTCTGGAGGCAGCCGTGTTTGTGTCAAATACAGCAAGGCTGCTTTAGCCAGGTATAAGCCTTTTGTTCTATGTGAAAGTACATGGTAAGAATATAGAGCTGCCGCGTTCTGCACCTCTTAGGACTAACGGGTAGTCTATGTTGAGCCTGTGCAGCAAGTCTCTTGTTCCTTAAAACCTCCACACACATATGCTCCTATCGATGATCGTCACTTTACAGGTAGGCAACTGAGTATCCAGGATTCAAACCACTGTTCCAGAACCTGCTGTGGACAGAGTACCATAGCCTCCAGAGGCTCTGTGTTGAAGGTTTGCTACTCAGCTGGTGTTCCAATCATTTGAGAGGACTCTGATGTCATCGTCACATCAATCCCCCAAACTGCTTTTGCTCTGCGAGATAGAGAACATATGGCATCACTTGGAGGAAGGGGGTCTCTGGGAACATGTCCTGGCCTCTGTCTCTCTCTGTCTCTCTCTCTCTCTCTGTGTCTCTCTCTGTGTGTGTCTCTCTCTCTCTGTCTCTCTCTCTCTCTCTCTGTGTCTCTCTCTCTCTCTCTGTCTCTCTCTCTGTCTCTCCCTCTCTCTCTCCTTCACTGACCCTACGGAGATGAGCAGCTTTGCTCTCCCACACCCTTCTGCTGTGACCAGAAACAATGAGGCTATGGCTGTGGATGGAAACCATGAGCCAAAACAAACTTTTACTCCCATTACACTGCTTTCTCGGATATCTGTCACAGTGGCAGAAGTGGGAAGGAGAGGAGAAAAAGAAAAAGAAAACCCTAACATAGCCTCTCCACATGCCTGCTGCATGTCCACCCAATCCTCCTCAGACTCAGCCTGTTGCAGGCCTGGAGGCCACTCCTGCAGAAGCAGACACTGTGGCTCTGGGGCTTCCCTACTGACAGTGATGGCCAAAGCATGTGCCCTCATGATTCACAGCCCTCCTCTGTGAGGCAACGCAGGACATGACACACCACCTCCTGTGGCATTAAGGGGATCAGGTGAGGCCTAGGTTCAGGGGTACACTAGGGATAACAGTTACTAAAGAACTCTAGAAAAGGACAAAAAGGCATTACCACTCTAAAAACGGGCTGGATCTGGAATATAGTTTGTGC